AAAAATATAAGAAGCTTAATTTTTGACAAAACTTTGGTTTTATCTTTCGCAATAATAGAGAGTTGATTTATTTGCAACCAAATGACTAAATTGCGTATTTGCGTAAAAAAAAAACGCTTGAAAAAGGCAAGATTTATTTTTTGGTGAAATTTGGGTTTGTTGTAGTTAAATCTTGTGAAAAAATTGATTTTTTATCTCAAAAACGCGCTTAAACACTTGAAAAAGCAACAATAATAGCATTTTTAAATCTAATTTATGCATTTGTGGSSTTATTTTATGCCGAAATTTTGCGAAATAATTGCGTTGTTGACTGAAAAATGTGCAAAAACGCTCGAAAAATTTCATGTACGAAATAAATTGGTTTCAGCTCGGTTTTGCGAAATATCGCAAGGAAAATAAGTTTTTTGATTAAAAATGTCCTTAAACGGTTAAAAAATGCAAAAATTTGATAATCTTGTACTTTTTTTCAACAAAATTACGAAAAACAATTGCGTTTCAGGCTAAAGTACTTCTTCAAATGTTAAACAATGGCAAAATTAATGCAATTTTTGACTTAGTTTTCTAACTTTTGTATTATTTTTGACGAAATTTTCAAATTTCCGTTTTTCCTATAATGAAAGGTGCTAAAATTGTAAAAGACAAGATTTATTTTTTTGGTGAAATTTGGATTTGTTGTTGCTAAATCTTGTGAAAAAATTGAATTTTTATCTCAAAACGCGCTTAAACACTTGAAAAAGCAACAATAATAGAATTTTTTTTATCTAATTTATGGATTTGTGAGCTTATTTTATGCCGAAATTTTCCGAAATAATTGCGTTGTTGACTGCAAAAAGGTCAAGAACGCTCGAAAAATTTCATATACGAAATAAATTGGTGATTTTTAAGTCTGAATTAGAAAATCTCGTGAAAAAAGTGTTAAGTTCAAAAATTACGTAAACACTTGAATATGTCAGAAATAAGTGTTTTTGACTTTTTTTTTGAGGATACAACAATGTTTTTTGTGCTTTTATTTATTGGCATTGTAGAAAACATGGCATGTTCTACTCCCGAGTTAAAATCAGCGTATGTGGTACACAAAAAATTTTAAATTTTGAGGATTAATTAAAATTTTAGGTTTATTTCCAGCCCATTATGGCTCAAATGTCTACAGTCCAGCCTCGCATCCAACCTGTGGTTCCCATAATCATTGACCAGATCCTCGCTTGCAAACACTCCACGTTTCAAATCGCAGGAAAAGCCGTTCAGATAGTAATATTTCGTTGTTAGATTGCCCCCACTGATTGTATTTCCCTAGACTTGTCTAGTCGGCGTCATTTCAAAGATTAGTGTCGACTCTTTTGAGATCACGTGTTACATTCAAGATCACTCTGGTAGAATCAAGGGAATCATCAATTGCGAATCTGAACCAGAAGTAAATTCCAAACTTGTAACTATGGTCGAAGGCAAATATTCGAAAATTTTCGGTTCGATTCGYACCCAAAACAATGAAAAAGTCGTCATGATAATAAAGACGTTTCCGGTTGATGATTTAAACGTTTTGACTACGCATTTATTGGGAGCTGTGAGTGCAAAACTAGAGGCGGAAGCCGAGCTGAGTAAAGAGTTGAATTGTGCAAATACTCTCGCTGATGCTATGGAAGTGAGTGAGGACTCGGCTGCGCCTCGGTTTAGTGATTTTCAACGTTTGGTGTTTAATATTGTGAAGAGTGAGGAGTATGGGATTACTAGGAGGAGTGTCTTGAGACAGTTTCCGTCGTATCAAGGACATGAAGTAAAGTATGTTTTTTGATTGTTTTTTATTAGGTTTGATTGGAGTATTTGTAGCCAAGCTTTGGAACAATTGATAAGCCAAGGGGCGATTTATCCGACTATAGACCAAGAYCATCTCAAGGCTGTTGAATAAAAATACGGTGTTTTTGTTAATTAAAAGTATTTATTTTTGAGTTAAATAGAATTACATGTTATTTGGCAGTGATTTGTTTAAGTCCCTCCTTGAATCCTATGACATTGAGTCAAAGCATCCCCATTGAACCCTTCGGCACAGGTGCACACAGCAATGTGCCTTCTAGGATTGCAGTTGGCGTTGACCCCACATTGCCCCACGCACGGATTTTGGCATCTACGAAAAAAGCCCCCAATTACTGTTGCACTTCGCACTTATTTTCCTCATTATAAAAACTTTGTACACTTGTTATCAACTTTTTCCACTCTTCATCATCGTTAATGTCCTTCAACTCATCTAGTAGGTCCTTGAGTGTGAGATTGGTTTCGGAACTGCGCCCTTCGAATGGCAAATCTTCGATGATTTTTTTGATCTGTTCGACGGTCAATTCGGGCTTGTTTTTGGCGGGAGTGTGGAAGAGGAACTTGTAGAGGAGATAGGTGAGGAAGCAGCCCCAAGCAACCCATGCGATTTTTCTCTGGTTTTGCTCGAAAAACCGCACCAAATTTGATTTGAAGTCCATTTGGCAGGCAGTGTCAACTTACTTGTAATCGATGCAGGCTTTGGAATCCGGACAGTGGGAGTCCTCGGTGCACTCGCCGGGTCGGCAGGAGACCAGAGGGTCGCCGACGTAGCCGGGATGGCAGGTGCAGACGGGGCGCTCCTTGCCGGTCCTGTCGTGGCCTGGCTCGCAACGGGCGTTGTCTCCGCAAGGATTCGGCTCACATAAGTCCCCTGAATTGAATTTATAATAATACGTGTTTAATTTTTTTGGAGAAATTTTGTAAAAACTGGATTTTCTAAGAATACAAAATATCACAAATAAATTAACTTACCGAAACGGTTTTTTTGTTACAAAATAATCGCAAAAATTATGTTCGTTATGGACGAGGTAAAATTTATCTAAAAAAAGTGAATATCTATTAAATAAATAATATCAAATTAGTTGTTTACTATTTGAAATAGAAGCAATTACGTACGCACATAATAATAGTACCTAATAATAAATTTCATTCATAATGCCATTTTTGTTTTAACTTGATGTTTTTCGTTTTTTTTTTTTACAAAATTTTGCGGAATGTTGCGTTTCTGGCTGAAAATGTGCTGAAACTGGCGACAAATGCGAAAAGTTATTTTATTTTATAATCAGCTCTATTTTTTGTTTTTTTTTTTGCTTAAAAATCTTTTTAAAAGTTTCGAAAAAACTAAATTTATACAGGATGTTCCGTTTTTATTGTTACAAATTTAAACAGGTGATAGGATATTCAATTATAAGACAAAAGTTTCCTTGRTAAGGGAGCTACACCCCCTGGAAGGGGGCTAATACGTTTTTGCTAATATTTTAGAAACCATTTAAGATCAAATTACAAAATTTGGTACAGGTGATAACCTTTATACACCTAAACGAATTCAAATATCAAATGTCGAAATTTTTAATCAGAGGCGTACGAAACTGGGGGAGTTTAAGGTAAAAAAWTATCCTATTTATTTTGGCTTTAGTTTCTCGGTACTTTCAACAACAAAATCTTAAGTTCGATAGTTTATCACAGAAAAGTTTCTCTTGTATCGATACGACTTATTATTTTTGAATAAAATTAATTTAAAATTTATGTTACACACCAATACAACATTCAAATAAATCAGAATTTACAGAATAATAAAAGCAAGAAATTCATATTTTTTAATCAACCTCAACTAATTAACATTACATTCAGTAACAATAATAACATTAATTAAATGAATTTGCCTAAATCTAAAGGAGTTGTTCAAAGTGACCACCATTTTGGTCAATACATAACTAAAGAAACTAAAGCCAAAATAGATAGGGTATTTTTTACCCTAAACCCCACCAGTTACGGACGCCCCTGATTAAAAATTTCGACATATGATGTTTGAATTCGTTTAGGTGTATAAAGGTTATCATCTATACCAAATGTTCTAATTTTATCTTAAATGGTTTCTGAACAATTAGCAAAAACCTATTAGCCCCTTTTCAGAGGGTGTAGCTCCCTTACCAAGCATTTTTCGATACATGTTTATAGGAAGCTGCTGTCTTAAATTATTGAATATCCTATCACCTGTTTAAATTTGTAACAATAAAAACGGAACACCTTGTATAATTTATGGCTTAATTTGGTATTTTTGTTTTTTTTATGCAAAATAATTTCTTAGCTTAAACACGTACTACATAGAAAGCTGAAAAGTGGCAAAAGTGTAATTTTCGACCTAATTGTGTGATTTTTGCCTTAACTTTGACAAAAATTTTCAAGATTCTGGAAGAAAGAATTGCTTAAACTCTCTTGAGAGGTCAAAATATTAAAACTTTTTATCTAATTTATTAATTTTTTGGCCGAGTTTGTCAAAATTTCACCAAAAAACTGAATCTTTAGCTTCAAAACATGCTGAAAGCAAAAACCACACATTTTTCGACTTATTTGGTGATTTTTTGAATTATCTTTTAAAAAACTTAAAAGTATTTCATTTCTCACTCAAAAAGGCAATTATTTAAGTGACCCAATTTAGTGATTTTTTGGTCCCATTTAGCGAAATTTTACGAAAAAATTCAGTTTTTAGTCCGAAAAATATAAAAATGTGCTGAAAATAAAGGTAAAATAGTTATTTGTACAACTAGTTTTGAAAGTACTTTTTTTCTCTCATTTGCTTGCAAATTCGTGAAAAAAAGTAAGAGTTGTACACAATATTTTTTTTCATAGTGATAACCTCAAAGACCAAAAAGATTTCAATTTGATAAATCAAATCTTAACTCTATAGAAATAACTTTAGAAATATAACTATTGATATTGTTTAAAAAAGTATAACTTTCTATACGATTAATCGTGATGAAAATTGAGCTTTCATAATCACGATGCAAAAAATGTCATTTTGGAGCCATTAATAATACTAGTTTACACGATTTTTTTACCTTATCTGAAAGTTAAAATTTCTTATAGATTTTGAGCCAGTAAGTTGGAAAAAAATATTCAAAAAAGTCAGCACATGGGCCAAAACCAGCCACTTTAAAGTTACACTAAACCATATCTAAATTTTCCAAAATTAAAAAAAAATACGAATTTTATAATATACACCTAACCGTAACTTGGTGTCATAACAGCAACTTCTCTGGTCGCAAAATAATAATCATAAATAGTAATAATAAGGATAGTTATACGAGCCGATAAAGTGTCGATAAAATTTTTTAATCCGGTGATTATTGAAACTTTTAAGGCGCTGATAAATAATTGTTTTAATAGTTTGTTTTGATGTAAATAAACATAAGTTTATAATCGAACAAAATACTAACACTGCGTTTTCAGCAACAAATTTAGAAGTTTGAATAGGCAAAAAAACTACCATTTTCGACTGAGTTTGGTGATTTTTTGAAATATTTTTAGTTTACAAACGTGCTAGAATACTCGAAAAAAAAATTTTTTTCGTACATACTTACCTAACGAACGTTTATCAAACACACGTTTGTCTAACGGTCTACACTGAATATAGGGATCCCCTGTCATATCCCTGAGACACGAACAAATGGGGGTCAAACCCCCTAACTCGCAATTGGCCCCCTCTCCACACACTCCATCACAGGGATTTGTTACTAAACAAAAAAACTATAACAATTTTTTTTAGATGTAAGGTTTGTAAAAAACCTAAACAAGGAAACCTGCATAAAAGGGATATTTTAAATTTAATGAGAAAACGCTTCTACACTAAATTTTATACATTTTTTGTAGAATAATATATATTTTGTCTACATTTTTATAATAAACTTTTTTTTATAAAATCAGTGTAACTCCCATCTTCCTTTAACATTAGGACTTAGGTTTTAGAAAAGTGCACACATAGTTTTATGTTTATAACTATAACACGTGTCGACTATTGTTGAAAATATGTCAATCACTGTAAAATCCCTTATTTTTTTAATTTTTACATAAAATTAAGATTGTCATAGAAAAAGTAAGAAAGAAAAAGTTAATTTAAATAAAACAACTCAATTTTATGACACTTGCATTGCTTAAAGTGTCAACAACTGTGTTAGTTACCCTCTTTGGGGGCTTTGGAAGCTTTGAAGGCTCACCTAGGACTCCAGCTAACCCGTGGGCCAAAACCAGCCACTTTAAAGTTWCACTCAAATCCATCTAAATTTTTCGAAATAAAAAAAATTGCGAATTTTATAATACACACCTTACCGTCGCTATGTYGATGTCTCAACAATAACTTGTCTAGTCGCAAAATAATATTTACAATAATCATAATTAGTAATAATAATAGTTGTACGAACCGATAAAGTGCCGATAAAATTTTTAATTCGGTACCTAATTATTAAAACTTATAATACGCTGATAAATAAATAATTGCTTTAATAGTTTGTTTTGATGTAAATAAACGTAAGTTTATAACGCAAAATCGAACAAAATACTAAAACTACGTTTTCAGCAACAAATTTGGAAGCTTGAATAGACAAAAAGAACACCATTTTTGGTGATTTTTTGAAATATTCTTAGTTCAAAAACAACAAAAATACTGTTTACTCGTATATTTTACGTACATAACGAACATTTTTTTGCTTAACATTATTTAAAAAATAGTTTCGTTTRAAGGGGATTTTGAATTTTTGTTTTGACTAAATTAAAAAAAAACTCACGTTTGTCAAACGGTCTACAATGAATAAACGGATCCCCTGTCATATCCCTGGGACACGAACAAATGGGAGTCAATCCCCTCAACTCGCAATTGGCCCCCACTCCACACACACCATCACAGGGATTTTTGCAAATCCCATAGAAGCAAGCCGGCCGTCCTGCCGGACAATCCCTATCACCATAACACTCAGGCTGGCAGGACACCAGGGGATTCCCGAAATAATTTTTCGGACATTTACAAACCGGTCTGTGATTCCTGACATCACATTCGGCATTTTTGCCACATTGTGAACACGGATTTTGACATTTAAACTCGATGCAAGCCATCGCAGGCCCACATTCGCCATCACTGTCGCACTCATGGCGACACCCACTGATGGGTGAGCCATGGTACCCTGGAAGACACTTGCAAGTGGGCGTTTCGTTCACCACCTCGCAATGAGTGTTGGCACCACAGGGACTCGGGTGGCACAATTCAGCTAAGAAAAATGTCAATTGGCAACATTGAAATTTCTCGATGAAGACTTACAGGGGTCGAAACGTCGGCAATGCGAGAAGGGGTCTCCGGTGTACCCTGGAGGACATGTGCATACCGGGAGGTGGTTTCGGGCGGTGCAAAGGGCGTTTGCCCCACAAGTGCCGTCGCAAGGGTCGATGCAACGCCCRTTGCGACAYGTCAAGTGGCCGCGACATTCGGAATTGTCGAGACATTCRGCCCTTTTGCAGTAAGTGATGGGGTCGCCGAGGTAGCCCTTGAAACAGGAACACACAGGACGACCACCGATGATGGAACATTGGGCGTTTTGGCCGCAAGTACCGCTCGAACACGACGAGACGTAGGCCATGGCTGGGGGAGTAGAAAAAATTTCGTGTGTACAACGGGAGTGTAATATAATTGAGGCAATTAACCTTGAAGGTTACTTGATTAATGGTCTGTTTGTGTTATTGTTTTTAAAGTAGCCGTTTCCAAAAATGGGTCACTGATTTGTGCTAGTGGGAGAGAAAATGAAATAGTGGGCGAAAAAAACATCAAAATTGACATTATTTAAATTTTAATTAATTGTTTTGAAATAAATAAGTTAGAAATAAGTTGTGTATTTGAACCTTTACTAAAAATGTAAAATTGAAAAATTAATGAAACTATTTCAGATCTACGAGTACTAATAAAGAAAATGGCAACATCGCAAAGTTACTATAAAAAGCATAATTTTAAATATATTTTAACTTTTGAAAAATATAAAAATAACTCCATTTTTAGTTCACAGATTGAAAAAAACTATTTAAGAAATAGTGGGCTTTTAATTCGCAATTGGTCAGTTGTAGAAAAAATAGTGTGTGTGACAGATAGAATCAACTGCTAGTTTTGGGTCTACCACCATAATTTTCATTTAATTTTTTGTTTTTTTTTAGCCCAGTTTAGCAAAATTTTTCGAAAAAACTGTGTTTTTGGCTTGAAAACATGATCTATTTAGTACTCTCGAAATAAGCAAAAATATTGGTGTTTTTGAATAATTTTAAAAATTTTTTTATTAGGATTCTCGAAAAAGGCAATTGAGTGACTCAATTTACTGATTTTTTGGTGTCATTTTGCAGCAAAATCTCGCAGAAAATTAAGTTTTTAGCTCAAAAACTTGGTAAAATTCTCAAACAATCACAAAAATGATATTTTCCATGTAATTTTGCGATTTTTAGGTGCGGTTTTGTAATATTTTGCAAAAAACTAAGCTCTTGCTACTTGAATGTTTGAAAAATGCAACAGTAACAGAATGTTTTATATTTTAGTTTGTTTTTGTTGAAATTTTGCGAAATAATTGTGTTTCTAGCTGAAAAACGTGCTGAAACACACGACAAAACGGCATAAATGTCATTTTGAAACAATTTTGTAATGTTTCACTCCGGTTTTGCGAAATTTCGCATAGAAAATAAGTTTTTTGATCAAAAATGTTCTTAAACGGTTAAAAAATTGCAAAAAATTTCATTGTTTTAGACTTTTTTTCAACAAAATTACGCAAAACAATTGCGTTTCAGGCTAAAGTACTTTCTGAAATGCTAAACAATGGCAAAAATAATGCAATTTTTGACTTTGTTTTCTAACTTCCGTCTTATTTTTGACGAAATTTCGTTTTTTTTATAAAGAAAGGTGCTAAAACTCTAGAAAATGCAAAAAGTTATGTTATTTTTAACCAAGTTTTGGCCAAAATTTCGCAAAAAAAAAACTGAATTTTCATCTTATATTTTATAAAAAAATGTAATTCTCAATTTGTCAATGGGAGAAAAAATAGTGTGTGTGTGTGACAGATAGAATCAACTGCTAGTTTTGGGTCTACCATCATACTTTTCATTTAATTTTTTGTTTTTTTTATCCCAGTTTAACAAAATTTTTCGAAAAAACTGTGTTTTTGGCTTGAAAACATGATCTAGCTCGTACTCTCGAAATAAAATATTGCTGAGTTTTTGAATTATTTAAAAAAAAAATTTATTAGAATTCTCGAAAAAGGCAATTGTGTGACTCAATGTAGTGATTTTTTGGTGTCACTTAGGAGCAAAATCTCGCAAAAAATGAGTTTTTATCTCAAAAACGTGCTAAAATTCTTAAACAAGCACAAAAATTATATTTTTTATGTAATTTTGCTATTTTTACGTCCGGTTTTGTAATATTTTGCAAAAAACTAAGCTCTTGCTGCTTGAATGTTTGAAAAATGCAACATTAACATAATTTTTTATATTTTAGCATGTTTTTGTCGAAATTTTGCGAAATAATTGTGTTTCTAGCTGAAAAACGTGCTGAAACACAYGACAAAACGGCATAAATGTCATTTTGGAACAATTTTCTAATATTTCAGCTCGGTTTTGCGAAATATCGCAAAGAAAATAAGTTTTTTGATCAAAAATGTTAAAAAAATGCAAAAATTTGATCATTTTGGATTTTTTTTCAACAAAATTACGCAAAACATTTGCGTTTCAGGTTAAATTACTTT